GCTTTTTATGTAGTGACAACTATCAGCAAGTGACCTGTCAAATGAAATGTGTGAATATGACCTGCTTCCCTTATCTTGGAACTCAGTTAAGGTAATTAATTACTGCTGTCAGTTTTACTGTTTAATTCTTATGCAGTGACTTTTAAAGTCAAATGAATAGGCCAGATTATAATGAGCTTTTGTGCAGTGATAAATTCAATATGTGTCTTGGAAATGGTATGTTCTATGCCAGTACTGTATAGTAAAAATATGTGAAAAATATTTTCAGTGTAGGAAACTAAGTCTATCATTGTGTATTCACTACATGTTACCATGGCTAAGGGTCAACTTTATTTTACTCTGTTGAAAATTTTCAGGTTTATAAATCGATATTTTTTCTATTTTTAGCAATTAAAAACCTAATTTTTTTTTAAAAAAAAAGTAAAGGCACAGTAACAGCCTTCTATGTATATTCAGTCTTAGTGCTTGATGTTTTTGTTCTTCTGTTTTGTTTTTCTATTGGCTCTACATCCTTTTACTCTAGTCCACTTTTTGTTTTGTTACTCTAGGCAGATTTCTGCCTTGCATATCTCTACACTCCAGGTATTAAGTCCTATTTTTCACTATAATGCTTGTTTTTTTGTTCTAAAAATATGAACAACAAATATTGCTTCCTGGATATTGTGAATTTTACTGACCGTCTAAATTGCCTATGATGACTTATCCATGGATGTAATTGATTTATTCTTAATAAAAACTATGAAAGAAAAAAACTAATACTGAAATACTCCATGTAATCAGGATGCTGGACTTTAAAGTACTGTATATGTAAAGACTTTTTTTGTTTTGGTTATAATCTCTAGCCTGGTTTTCATTGCTCTCTGTATCTTCTCTGAGATATTTCATCCCTCTATACATCCTGGTGACCATTTCAGAAAGGAAATCCAAAATTTTGGAGTTGTCATTTGAACAAAAGGTGAGGGTTAGGCTTTTAATGGTCCCTAATTGGGCGACTGTTCACGCCATGCTGACTCTGAACCTGTCTGCAGTGTCCAGTCCAACAGGGTTTTGAATTATTTCCTGCATATCTCAGTCATAGTTTAGTACATTTATTGTAACACAGTTCCTTTACAACACGACATCTATTCACATACCTCACCGATCAGAAGTCTGAATTGCCAATCACTATTCCTGAGTACATGACATTTTGAACAGTGGCTCCTTAAGTGCAAAACACTCACCTAAGTCACACAACTGTCACAACCATCTTCCCAGATACTGCAGTCACCTTGCTAAATGTTTCACACTCAGGGTGTACCTTCCCATCACACAAAGGGATATCTGCCATAGGATAAACCAAGCCACTGGACCCGTCAAGGGACCAAGATTTGTCTTTCTGTTCACAAAGTTTCCTGCTCTATATACCCCTGTGGTTCAGCCCCATAGAGGGCTCTCTTTCTCCTTAGTGATACAAAGACTACATCCTGCAGATCAGGGTGTCCTGTTCCCATACCCAACTCTACTGGGCACCACCCGCAGCTGGCATATCAAAGGGCAACAGCTACATCCACGACATCACCAAAGAAGGGGCTACAATTAAAGGACAATAATATCTGCCAACAAGCCGCCCATCACACAGTTTTTCCTCCATCCACACAAACCAGCAAGGATGAACAAATCTCCGGCTGAGGCTTTAGTCATTTGGCAGTTGCCATGGGCTTTAAAAATGTCCAAACAGTGTTTGTATCAGACTGAATGCAGGTGTTGTTTTGGCCAAATTTATGACCAGCTCATGCGGTTTGTCAATCGAAGGATGTCTGGCAGGAGGGTGCTGACAGGCACCCACAGAGCAAATTTTGTCTGGTTCATCAGGAAGTGGACTAAATTCACTTCATGTATGGACAGCTTTAGTCTTGCAATGTGGACAAATGTTCAGGTGAGAACTGTATAGAAGAGGGATTCCCCTGATTTTAGGGAGATTTAATCTGCTCTTCTCTGGGACAGGAAAAGAAGGCAAAGCTCCCCATCTTGGCACAGATATCAAAAATAACCTCACAGGTTATAACCTCCAAAACAAAAAAAACAAAACAAAAAAAACCATAGTATAGCAATACATAAACTTGAACACTTAAGTTTTATCTTGATGCATAGAGGCACTCTGAATAAAACTGACCAGAGATTTGAAAGCTCAGTTGTTTGTGCACACGTGATCAAACTTATCTTGGACAGCTATTTGAATACCTCCCAACTTTCAGGGATGAAAAAAGGGTACACCTTTTATCAGGGGCATATTTACCGCAAGGCAAACAGGGAATTTGCCTAGGACAGCATTTTTCAGGGGGGTGGCCCCCAGAAGAAGGGACACACGGGTCATGGGGACCAGGTGGGACTCGAGAGAGGCTGTGGGCTGCTTGATGCATGCAGAGCCTGACTCTCATTCCTAGGGATGTCTGGAACTGTGAAGCTGAGTGTCTTTCTCTCTCTGCCAGGGGGGACAGGGGTGGTGGCTGGTGTAATGGGGGGGCAGTGGTAGGGGAAGACTCTCTTGGCCAGGGTTGTGTTAGTGGAAGGCTTTATCGGCCAGCAGGGGCGGCTTTTGGTGGGTGTTAGTGGAAGGCTTTCTCGGCCGGGGGGGGGGGGGTAGGTGGTACACAAACACAACCCTGCCCCCAGTTACATGGACCATAAATAATTACTATGACAAATATAATTGACTAAACCTATAAGTGATTTTTTTTACATCACTGTTTTCCATAATACTGGCTTTTGGAAACATACCAATTGAATAATTTTCTGGATAAAGGGTATTGTACAGTTTAACATTTTTTTTTGCAGCTACTTGGTGTAGCAGGGGAAGAATGGTGATTATAGATTTTTTTTATAGCGCTCTATACATGAGAGAAAGAAGAGAGACAACTGAAAAGGAAAGAGGGATTTTGGATCCCTAAGAGGGACAGTCCTTTCAAATAAGGGACAGCTGGGAGCTATGTATCTGTACTGCTCTGTATAAACCTTACACATGTATTGTCAATGGAAATGTGAGAGCTGCAAGCAGGATGTCAGCTTTGGTGTATCAGGGGAAGAATGGTGATTAGGACAAGCTTTCTAAAGGAAAGGAAAGGGCAAGAGCCACCTGGGTGAGTCATTCCTATACTGTAACCTGATTTCCTAGTTCTGCTGTAAAGAGAAATATCTGACTTTGCTGTCACAGCTTAAATCACAAAGTCTCACTTTAAAATTTCTGTCTGAATGACTCATGATTTCACTTACCAGGAAAACCTTATGAATCAAAAAGTCCTTTGGAGTGATTTATAGTGTTTTGCGATCAGTGAAAAATATGTAAGGGATAGGCAGAAACATCAAAATAACAAGACAAAAGGAAAAATGCCTTGCAAAAACTTCACGTACAGTGATTTAAGCATTAATGAATCATTTGCCACTTCACAAAACGCACATTTCAGCAGTTTATTGAAGACATGTCCACTAATACAAGTAGATGTCTACTTGATGTGTAACCTATAGCAGCATGCCAATCATGACTTTTCAGCTTTCAGCAAGTTTATTGAATGACAAACTAAGCACTATTACATAGCTTTTCATAAAACCACACACAGTTTGGTTTCTTTGAAAAGGTTATCATAAGTTATTAGAGAATGAGCTAGCTTTCCCCCACTCATACTTGGGCTCTTATCTGGCTCCGAATTTTGTTCAGAGTCCATAAAAATTTGATCATGGTACCTAACTAAGTAACTGCCTTTTTCTCCTCCAATAGCCGCTGTCCGTCAAACCATGATACTTCTTCTAATTGGCTCTTCTGAGCTGCGTCCGCGATTAAGAGTCCAGTGTCCTTTGGTGCTTTCTGCGAACATTTCATCTTGCGACTTCTCTCCAGTGACAACGGAATCTATTTATAGACCGTAACATTTTCGGCTTGACCAATCATTTTTCAGGATTGGGTGAGCCGAGGGCCACATTGCAAAAAATTTTTTTGTCCACTTAGTGCTGCATGGTTGAAAACGCTAATTGGCAGTTTTAGTTATGTGACAGGGTCACTTTAATGTTTCAGTATCCATGTGTATTTGATACTATTACTATTTTTATCAGATATAATCCATATTTTACAGATAACCTGTGTTCCCTCTGTCAAGTTGTCAAGTAGCAAACAGCATTTCAGAAGAAAGTACTCTGTTCTGTTTTAATTAATTAATGTAATTATACCTTTAATTACCAATTTAGAAGCTGTCTGTTATGAAGGTTAAAGTGATAAGTAAAGTTTGCTGCACACAAAATGCTTTGCATAGATCAGAGCTGCTTCTGTGAAAATCTTTAAGCTAGAACTGACTGATACTATCTATTTAAAGGCTAACTCCATTCTTTAAAAGTTGTTTCTTCTGTCTCCCAAGCCTCCTTATTGGTCAGTGGGGCTACACAGTACTAGGGTAACTAATACATAGGACTATAAGGCAGGACGTGGTAAAAACCCTACTCCAGGTTATTGTTTTTATATTATGGTCCCTCAGCACTATTAAAAAAGGAACACTGGCTCCAATACTCACCTCCTTTCTAACAATGTCCACCATGGTACCGCTTCTTAACAACAAAATTAGGAATAAGTGAATCCACCAAGGTTTGTTTGCCAAGGGTTTGAGGAATCCATACAAATATTTGCAAACCAGAGATTCAACTGTTAACTTCATTAAAGTTGATAGAAAGCAAGTTTTAATGACCAATTGTGGGCCCCTGTGGGGATGCTGGCCAAACTACTGTTAAAAATAAACTTACAGCAGGGGAAGGGCCATTTTATATGATTTTGAGGGCAACGTAAAAAAATGCACACATCCTTTAAAAGGTTTAGGCAATGCCCCGAAGTGATGCCAGCATGTAGTGTTATGGAACAACATGATTTTCACAGACGGTGTCAGCGACAATGTACTTTGGCAGCATATTTTTGGTTGTGGAATTACCTTGTATCATTGCTTCAGCCACTTTGTGTGCTCTGTTCTGCAGGACATGCTAGCCCCAGGGGTGGACTGACCATTTGGAAACTCAGGCACTGCCCGAGGGCCCGGGGTCAGTAGGGGGCCCCATGAGATGCCCCTGGTACCTTTTTCATAGGCTTTTTTGAGTTTGGGCAAGGACACAGGGGCCCTATGATCCCCTATTGCCCAGGGGCCCCATGAGTTGTCAGTCCGCCCCTGGCTCGCCCCTACTTCCTCCATGCATAGCTCTTCTGCCTTTCACTTTAGACCTATGTATTGTTCATTTTTTTTAGCTTTTCTAAGACTATAATGATTGAGGGTTGAATGTATAGTGATTTTATTACACAATAATTAGGGCACAGCAAAGTGACAGCATGCTGCATTTAAATGGCCCCAAAAAGCCCTTTAACTTAACCCTAACTATCATTGTGTTTTATAGAGAATGCCTGACTTATTTTTATAATGGAAATATGTGGCAATGGGTAAATGAAAGCAATGTGAGGTGCTTTTGGTGCACATTGTTGTTGCACAACAATGCTGTGGCATGCTGCAAAGAAAGATCAACTCCAAGAACAATTCAGCAATGGGTGAATGCTGAGCTTTTAGCTCTTCAGACTTAGAAAATACAGCCCTAGCAATGCAAATACATAAAAAAACAAACAAATTCAAAATACCCCTAAAATTAGAAAAAAAAAGCTTTGATATTGACAGAACATCAGAAAGAAAGGACTACTTCTTACTAAATAAATAACTAGCAAGCAATGACAAACAAGAGTAATGCTAATGAAGGGTTAAGGGTGTTAATTTGTGAAGACAATACAACCCACCCCTGCAATCTACAGCATAGAAAACCAATTTTAGATTGTTACTAATCACACAACAGTAAAATCAGTCTGTATATGCAGTATATGTAAGTATGCTTGCTATACTCACTGTGGAACCTAAGGGGTTAATCCTCTGCATTGTGTAAAAAGGCTGTTTGATCCTGACTTCTCTGATCCTCCCCTTCTTCTACTGTCCCCAGCCCATCTCCTGATAGAACAGAACCTTGGGAGCAAGCTGCACATGCTCAGTTTGCCTCATAGGGGAGAATGAAAACTCCTCCTACAAGCTTTAAACAGTGCTCTGCTGGACACTGATAGAATTCACAAGACTGCTCTAACTGCTGACGAGAAAAGGTATTTAGCAGTTTATATTAACTAAAATAATTGCATTTCCATGTTATGTGTACTGTGGGAGACCAGATAGAGTGAATGCAGGGTCCTGGGTTTAAGTACTTTAAGTATAGAACTCTCTAAGCTCTCCCTATACAGATTGTCAGTTCTCTCAGTCCTCTCTTTAAACATTTCTAAAATACACTGACAATATGGCTACTGTGAGACCCCCTTTTAAAGTGAGGGGGCTTGTTCATCCAATTCCACCCATTAAGCGTATTGATGGTGGTTCTAAAGGCCATGTAGTGCATTCTGATTTAAAAAGTGTTTTTGCAAAATTGCACATTTTCATAGGTGCACATGAATCGGATCTGGTGGATTTGCTGTGAAACTACTAACTGTGGCACAAACCTGAACCTCATTTCTACAAAAGATGTTTTCAGTCTCTTGGTTTAAATAAAGTCCAGCATCATTTAATGTGAAAGATTGAGGACCTACTCTAAGTGCAGGGTGTTGTGGACCTGCGCCCTCAAGGATTGCCACCAGGACCCTCTGCAATCACAGTGTATTGATCAAGAGAGTGGTATCTGCACCACTAAGGACCATCCCACTGCTGGGAGAAGATATGAAGAAGAAGAGGACCCTGCGTGTTACATGATTGGCCAGAAGACATCTTGATAAAGTAAATTTAAAAAAAATCATAACAGGAAGGGCCTCTGGGGGCAAGGGGGCATCAATGTGATGAACTTTGGAGTTGTAGCTCTGATTAAGACCTTCTGCTTTCACACACATGCCAGTGATCCTTCTCTTCACAAGCTGATATGGGAAAGAGCATTTCTACTATCACTGTGGCTACTTTTAAGAACTAAACAATTGTAAAACTTTGAACAGCTTTTGCGCACACAATTTAATTGGAAAATACAAATGGGCTTAAAGGTGGAAGATGAAGAGTGTAGATACTGTTGTAGGTTTCCGTATGGAGGACATTTCCTGTAATAGTGGTCAGGTAGCTATGATGAAGACCCTCTCATTCAGCAATCACTTGTAGAAAGTTCTGGCAAGGCCTACATCAATGTTTGCAACTAAAGCTGGAAAGGCTGTGCGATAGAATTTACTAAAATCTTTATATTGTATACTAATGTATTATTTAAAATCTTTGAACACAATTTCAAATAAAACACTGCTGCTGTGTGTCTGTAAAAAGGAGGCATGCTACAGAATGATTTATGAGTGTTTCAGTACCATTGACCTGTGCATGACAAAACATAGGTTTACTTGGTGTATCCTGAATTTCCAAATAAGTGGCTTTTTGAAGTAGCTGTCAAGCTGTTCATAGTCAGATTCAGAAAGTAGCACACCTCATCTTTGCTACTGCCTGTGTGATAGATTACTACTTTTGACTTTTAGAGTATGAGACTAACAAGCTAACCTTTTGCTGTTTGCAGTCTTTATCTTTTTTCAAGTACATCCTTCAGACATGTAAAAGCTAAGATTCCAACTTAAGGAGGGGAATTTACTAAGACTAGGTTCATATCTCCGCATTCCTGCGGGCTGCGTGGACACAAGAGCGCATTCATTTGAATGGACTCCCGTACTCCAGGACATGCAGGGAAGAAGTCCTTGCACTTCTTTGGAAAATGCAGCCCCCACAGGAACCTCGGTTCCCAGTATGGTTGCGATTTCCAGTGTGGGCGGTGTGCCATTAGAATTAATGGCACCCGCCTGCGGGTTCACATTGCTCTGTGTGGATAGTGCAGCTGCACATATTTTTGTGCGGATCTGCAGTGGCACCACCCGCACATATGTGAACCTTGCCTAAATCAGACAAAGTCTGAGGCAATTGTGCATGGCAATCAATCAGATCCTAGCTTTTATTTTTAAAGCTTAACTGAACAAGCTGAAGATAGAAGCTGATTGGTTACTATGCACAGCTGCTCTCTCTTTAATATATTTCCCCTCATTTATGTTAAAAGTGAAAATCCATGTTTCTGTGTTTGATCCACTGGTGAAACATACACACGAGACTACTATCTTTAGAGTTCTTTCTTATTTGGGCCACTCTCAAATCTTTGCTTTATTCTCTTTTTCTTTCTAAGATTGCACTGGCATAAGCAGAATGATCTTAGACAGTGCAAAATTGAATTTGCTCTCAGTTTTGACAGCCAGTAAAGATGCGAATAACATGACTAGAGATGAGTGAACCAGGCGACATTCAAGCATTGGTGTCTTGGTGACATCATTGATTAAAAATGGTCATGTGATGACCATATTTGGGCAATGATGAGGCTGGTAGAGATCTGTCATGTATGCTGGGAGTAGTGGCGGGTGCCGAGTTATTATGTTAGTGTGTCATCATTATTGACATTGATCTACATTGATTGTTGGACCATGTAATTAAAGTTGTTGGATTTATATTGCAGGATATTGTTTATTTTTTTCTCATAAACCACTTTTTTGATGTTTATTTAAATGTATTATTTAATTTTTTTCATTTGCGAATTAGTAGTAAAGGGGCACTATGTACCCCACACATATTTGTGGATATCTGGGGGCGCCCTTATTCACAAGTCCATCCCCTGCAGAGTCCCATGTACATTTTAGGATACAAATTCTGACCTTTCCTGGCCAGCCAGGCTGTTAACATCTGCGGCTGTCAATCACCGGGTATTGGCCGGTGATTACTCGCCAGTGCCCAGTAATTTCTGACGATCTCTGATGGGGAGAACTGTTTTGCTTACTAACAGTTCTCCTCCCTGTCAGCTCGGGCACACTGCTTTGGATGGCTGTGCACAGCACAGACAAAGCAGTGTGCTTACAGTGCAGCACACGGACACAGCCCTCTAGTTAAACACTCCCAGCACACAGTTAACCCTTTGATCACCCCTCATGTTACCCGTTCCTGCCCAGTGCCATTAGTATAGTGTCAGTGCTTTTTATTAGCGGTTATTGGTGTCATTGGGGATGTCAGTCTCACCAAGTCAGTTCCCCCCAGTGTCAGAATTCCCGCCGCAGTCCCACAGTCCCGCAAGTCTCACTATAAGTCGCTGATTACCACCATTACTAGTAAAAATAAAAAAAAAATTAAAATTCCAGTATCTCTATCTCCATTTGTAAATGCTAAAACTTTTACGCAAACCATTTAATTTACATAAATTTTGTTAGCAAAGACATGTATCAGAATACATTTTGGCCTAAATGTATGGCAAAATTTAATTTTTACATTTTTTTTACTGGACATGTTTAATATCAAAAAGGAAAAAATATAGTTTTTTTTCTCAAAATTGTCAGCCTTTTTTGTTTATAGCACCAATAATAAAAAAATGCACAGGCAAACAAATACCACCAAAAGAAAGCTCAATTTGTGGGAAAAAAAGGACATAAATTTCATTTGGATGCAACGTTGCATGACTGCATGATTGGCAGTTAACCATTTCCATACCGGGCACTTTTACCCCCTTCCTGCCCAGGCCATTTGTCAGGTCTCAGCACTCTCACACTTTGAATGACAATTGCGCGGTCATGCAATATTGTACCCAAACTAAAATTTTATCATTTTCTTCACACAACTAGAGCTTTCTTTTGGTGGTATTTAATCACCACTGGGGTTTTTATTTTTTGCTAAATTAACAAAAAAACACCGAAAAGTTTGAAAAAAAAACACATTTTTCTTTGTTTCTGTTATAAAAGTTTGCAAATAAATAATTGTTCTTCATAAATTTAGGCCGAGATGTATTCTGCTACATGTCTTTGGTGAAAATAACCCAAATTAGGATGTATTTTTTTAGTTTGTAGGAAAGTTATAGAGTTCACAAACTATGGTATAGACCTGAATATTGATCAATCCTGAAGTACTGACAGCCAATCTAATTTCTTGAGGTCCAAGAATGTCAGAACAGTACAGATATCCCCCAAATGACCCCTTTTTGCAAAGTAGACAGTCCGAGGTATTTCATAACAGGCATGGCGAGTTTTTTTAAGTTGTATTTTTTTTGTCAGAATTTGAAATGAAAAAATTAAAAAAAATATTTTCACTATTTTTTTTTCACCAGTGCAGTACAGCGTCATCATATAACTAGCATGGCGGTGATCAGGGACACTGACTGGTGACAGAACGAAAAAAAAAAAAATTTTTTTTTTATTATTTTAAATT